CAGCTTAGCTGCTCTCCCCTCCCCCCCATCCCCATCCGCTGCTGCCTTTAATGGCTCTGCCATGGAGACAGGTTGCTGCTGATCTTGGCAGAGGTGACTGGGCTTACTCATGAGTTGAGCTGAAGGTGGGCACTGCCAGCAATCCTTGCTCCCCCTGTTGGCAAGCAGTTAGAGAAGGGAAAAAAGCACAGTGATCCTGCAATGTCAAAGAGAAGCTTTGACAAAATAACATCAGACTTTGAAGTTCTAGGGAGGAAAATCAAAATCACTGGGGCCCAGATAATCTTCTCCCCAATCCTATCAGTACATGGGATAGGGAAGGAAAAATCCTATGGTGGTGCCATAAAGAGACATTTGAATTCTGAGACTACAAGCTCAGCTAAATTCTAGGAAGACAGACTATTGGCAAATGATGGGCTACACCTCACCAAGAACAGAAAGCAATGTGTTTGAACTACATGAAAAATGTATAAAGAAGGTTTTAAACTGAAATTGAGGGGAGGAACACATGCAGCGTGGCATATCATCACCTGACAAAGATGTATGTATTTCAATGGAGAGAAAAACCTCAAGCAGGGCCTTACATCAGCCTCCCAAAAAATGAAGGGAAAAAACCAAGGCACAACAAGAATGAACTTCAATGTCTCTACATCAGTGCCTAGATCATGGTTCCTCAAACTATGGCCCATGGGCCGAATCCGGCCCACCATGCCCATTTATCCAGCCTGCATGAGAGGTTTTGGACTCACCGTGCCCGCTGCCATGCCCTGCACGTGCCTGCCACCGCCTCACCACGTGGGTGGGGAGGCAGCAGCTTGCTTATGAGGAGATCGTTTTGGACTCGCTCGGAGAAAATGATCTCTGAGCGAGCAAACCACTGCCTCGCATGCCTGCTTCTGCCTCGCCATGCGTGCCCACTCCCACCTCACCTGCCCTCCGCTGGCACATGCGTGCCCCACCCCTGTCCCCTCACCGGCTCGTGTGCTGCCGCCGGCACCACCTTACTGGCCTGTGTGCGCTATGGCACCTTTCAACTGGCCCCCTGTTGAAAAAGTTTGTGGACCCCTGGCATAGATTATGGGAAACAAACAACACAAACTTGTGCTTATAGTACACAAGGACCATCACAATCTTATAGGTGTAGGTGGGATGACTCACATGACTGGAACTCTGTAATTGACAGATACATAGAAACAGAGCGAGTCAGAAGAGGTCTGCCGGGCCATCTAGTCTGACCCCCAGCTCCATCTGGGTCCGCTCACGACATGCCCACCATGTGCATGTCAATAAAATTGTACAAATTGTTCAAGAAAAATAGAAAGGACAAAAGGGAATAATTGTGGACAATAGGCTAAATGGCTAAATATGAGCCAACAATGTGATGCAGCTGCCAAAAGGCAAATGCTATTTTGGGATGCATTAACAGAAGTATAATCTCCAAATCACGAGAAGTAATAGTTCCCCTATACTCTTTAGTCAGACCTTTCTGGAATATTGTGTTCAGTTCTGGGCACCAAGCTTTAAGAAAGATGCAGAAAAATTAGGAAACGGTCCAGAGGTGGGCAGCAAAAATGATCCAGGGTTTGAAAACATTTCCCTGTGAGGAGAGCCTGGAGAACTGGGCATGTTCAGCCTTGAGAAGAGAAGACTGAGGGAAGTCATGATATCTTATAAGTACCTCAGAGACTGTCACAAAGAAGAAAGTCAAGATCTCTTCTTGCTGATACCAGAATACACAGGACACAGAATGATCAAATCAAGTTGTGACAACCCAGATTCAGGCTTGATATCACAAAAACTTTCCTCATTGTCAGAGCTACACAAGACAGCAAGTAGTTGCCTAGACAGGTCATGGGCTGCCCCACACTGGAGATATTAAAAAAGAAACTGGACAGCCAGCTAAGTGGGATGGTGTAAATTGGTGTCCTGCAACAGCAGGGGGTTGGACCTGATGGGCTTTCTGACCCATTTCAATCCTACTATTCTATGATTGTATGAATGAGAGCAGCAGGAGGAAAATATCATCTGCTTCAAGTTCTTTTAAAAAAGAGAAAGGTGGGATATAACTAAATAAATTTATATCTCACCTGTTCTCAGTGTTGTGACTCAAAGTGGCTCACAACATTAAAAACTTACACAATTAAAACATTCATAGAAATATATGAAAGTTTTAATTTAATTAAATCTGTAAGGTAGTAAAATTATGAAAATACCTACATTAAAAACACTAAGAACAATGTAAAAGAATAATACTATCCCAATGCAGTCTCACAGACCCAGATCATTCCCAAATGACTGCCAGAACAAAAAGGTTTTTGCCTGCCTTTGGGAACGTAACAGGGAGGGTTATTCACATAGATAAAAAGAAATGGATATATGTCAGTGGGCTTTATACGTATTGGCAACCACTTCAGTCATATCTTTAATCCACCCTCCAGGAAGAAAGCATACATGGCATGTTCATGGGTCTTCATGACAAACATGGGTTTCATTTCTACCCAGCAGGAAGGTCCCACCACTCTCCTCTTCTTATTGTAGGCCTCTGTTTCATTGCCTTTGCTTGACTACCCTTCAGCTTTTTGCTTGCTGTTGCATGGGGTGTCCTGAAGGTCTTCCTCTGCAGGCTGGCCTCCAGTCTCAACCTGAAGTACCTGAAAGCAGTTCCATAGTCCATTGTTTCCCTTGGTACAGAGTGCCTTCTAGTTCTGTTCCTAACTGTCACCCTTTTCCAGGGAGTTTCCTCCTCATTTCTCCTTCCCTCCGGCTTCTCTTCTTCTGCCTCAGCTTGCTGTTGCACTCACTCTCTGGGAGCTTATCTGGTTGTATAGCCCCTAGCTCATGTGGGGCAGCTTCTTCTGCACTGCTTAACTAAGAGTAAGGAAACATTCTCCAATGTATATGCCAATGATCCTATGTACCTATCCTATTCAAACACTCCAAAATGAGCCTTTTGGATAGAAGTAGAACTACTGCAGTGCAGTGCCTCCTAGCCCAGGTCAGCAGAGTCAGTCGAGAAGGATGCCATGGTCAGTGGTGTCAAAAGCTGCTGTGAGATGAAGGAAAACCAACAGGATTGGGCTTCCCCTGTTTCTCTCCTGATATTGGTAATTCATCAGGGAACCAAGTTTGATTCTTTACAAAACCAGTCCTGGAACAAGACTGAATTAGGTCTTTGCTGAATTGTGAAGCAGGAAGCACTATAGAAAAGCCTTGGACAAGCTCCCATTGGTCTCAGCCACTATAGACAATGTTAAGAAGTTATAGTCCAAATAGGATAAGGTGGAGGACTTGACTCTATACCATACCAAGGCCACAAGCTTACTGTGCCTATCCACAGATGCCACACTACCACTCCTGCCACTGTAGGCAGAGTGTAATTCTTTCCAGGGTATAGCTATACTGGTCTGTTCCAACAACAACAGAGAGTCTTGTGGTTCTGTAAAGACCAACAAATAGCCATCTTGGCCCCTTCCAACTCTGCTATTCTATGATTCTAGAATAAATGGACACAAATCTGACATAAGGAAGGCAATTTACTGAACTCAGTGGTTGAACATTTCATCCCCTTAGGATACTCTGACTGGATTAGGGCAACACATTGTGGCTGGTCATGTGTTCTTTCACCCAGGACAAACTGCAGCAGTTGCCAAGTTGTATATGTAACTGCTGCTCAGGGGCTGTCATGTCACAGAAACAGCCTCTCTGTGGATGACTTTAAAGCAACCTATTTTGAACAAAAGAATTTCAAAGACAGATATCAATATGAAATTACTGAAGGAGAAATTCAACTCTATTTTTTTTGGTTTGAATAAAGGCAGATTGCATTATGCATGTTAACTGGCGCACCACTGTAATGTTGGGTGCTGTTAGCACCAAACAGCATTCTGTGAATGGCACTCTGCTGAATTTCAGTTCCCTCTGTCAACACAATTCACATCTCCCCATAACCACCACCTTACATATCTATATAGATTGCTATCTGAAGTTGATACTTCATGTGTCTGATGAGTAAACAGTATCCGAAAAACTTGTGGCAGAATAAACCTAAATACAGATTAGTCATCATGTCTGGCTATTGGCTATAGTTTGCTGATTGTGAAGACCGGTCATAATTAGTAGCAAAAGCACTCCCTTTGGTTCAGAGTAGAAATCTACCAAGCTGAAAACTTGTTAAGAACACAGTCCTAGAACCATGCAAGCCCCAAAATTTGGAGACTTACATGTGTCCACAGTCCAGAATGAGGTATGGTGGTGGTGATCCCCATTGTCACCATGACTTGAGTGAGGTGTCTTATCTAGACTGCCATTTTCTGCAGCTTAATAAAGTTCCAATAAGAGGGAGAGAAAGAAGCCAGGCTACTAACCATTATATGCTTTCTGGCACCAGGTCAAGACCTTTAATTTAATTATTTAACTAATATTTTAAGACCAATATATTTAAGTATTATTATAATTTTAACCTGGTTTATTTTAATAATAATTTATCTATGTCAGTTGTGGGACATTTAATTTATTGTTATTTGGATTTATATATTGTATTTATAGATTTTACTGTAAGCCGTCCAGAGAGGGAAGTGATGGATGGCTTAGAAAAACACTAAATAAATAAATAATATATTTAAGATGGTTGTAGCACATTGTAGCATATTTTCAACATGAGTGGGTGAGATTTTTTTTGTTTGTTTGTTTGTTTCCACTGGATGTCACTATAGTCCTATTTAAAAGTTTTGTTTTAAAGAGGCATTAAAATATATATTGGAGTTTTTCATTCTGTTCTTCTTTCCATGTTAAGTCTAAATGAGTCAATGTTGGATCAACACTAGAAATTAATGTTTCAGAGTGATAAATAATTGTGTTATAAAATTGGTTTGTGGAGTATAATTTGGTATGCTTCTATAGTTCAATAGTGATTCTTGTTGCTCTATTTGTGGGTTTATCTATCTATCTATCTATCTATCTATCTATCTATCTATCTATCTATCTATGTGTTTAATTTTCAGGGGAAGCAATAGACTTCACAGTTCAGCATGCCGTTTCTGAATTCAATGGAGGAAGGCCCAATGTATCTAAAATATCAGTGATTGTTATATCAGACAGATCACAAGATTCTGTGGATAATGCTGCATATTTTGCAAGAGCAAATAGTAAATATTTTTTCTTCTGTTCTTATAGCATTCTGTTCATATAGTATGCAAAATAACTTTTTTTAACTTAAGGCATAAGCGGCCACTCCTCTTTGTATCATGTGTTTTAGATTATATGTCTATGGGCTTTGGGTAGGGGAAATGCATAAAAATAAATGTGATCTCTTTGTACTATTGTATGAAGTGTCCCTAAGCAACTCAAAAATTATAAGGTCTTCTTCAGATGATATCACAACTTCTTATGAGGCCTACTCTAGCATCTAGTGCAGCAGGAAATGGTCAGCCAGGCTCAGTGGAGTGACAACACACACTATGCCATGAAAAGGCATAGGGTAGTAGCAATGGCATCAGGATGTCCAGCTGTGGATGCACAATATCTGCTACTCATCTCATTCTGCCTGAGGTGGGGGAAGCTGGTCTTGTTTCTTCTAATGACCAGCTCTAATAAAATCATCTGAGGGAGAGTAAAAGCCAATGGACTGGCATGCTTCCCTTCACACCCTCTGCTGCAGTTTGTCATTTAGTTTCTGCCAAGATGATTGAGGGAGGGAGGATTCTACTGAAGGTGGTATTTCAGAAGAGTTTACAGAAAAGTGTATGCAACTTACACAATACATTGCAGGTAGATTTTCTTTTCTTTTCAAGTATGTACAATGTAGACACATAAAAGCAGTCTGGCCTGCTTAGTAAGTCAGAATACTTCATAAAATAAAACTAGGGATCAACTGATTATTTGAAATTCAAATAGAATTTTATGTCATGAAACATACTTGTGAAGTTTCATTGTAGCCTCTCAAAGCTCAATTGAAAGAATGCATTAATTTTTTCTAACCCCCTTTGAAACTTGGCATGGGATGCAGGGGTTAAGCTGGACACTGAATGTAAACCTTCTGAATAGGCACAGCAACTTTCATTCTATTTGAACTGCAGATATGCCATCAGAAAATATGTGCTTCCTTTCCTCTTAGAAAATGGTTACAGGGGATTGGTCTGAAATTTGAATTGTATCCTAACTCTATGTACAAACTATGTTCTGATGTTTCAATGCTGAATAGAATTACTACATTACAAAGCAACAAACCAACCGTTTGCCATCTGATTGACGTAAACAAAAGTCTCATTTAACTTGAATTCTATAATGTTCCTTCCTAATATTTAGCAGGCATAAATGAATATACGTTCAATACAATATAAATTCTATGGCTAACTTGCTTTTAAGAAACAGTATTAACAGCAAGCATAAGCTACACATTAATTTAAAATAACCAACTCTCTCCTTTCTGTAAATTGTGCCTTCTATAGTCCATATAGTGGATGTCCATATTCTTCAAGGGCTGGACATATTTTTCCTTGATTTATACTTTATGAGGTGAACCTTCCAAAAGTCAATATAGGGTGTTGGCTTCCAGATTTATCAAGGATAATCTGCACTCTATTCAAAAGCTATTTCTGGTGTTAGCCCAGAAGCCCCCCTCTGCATTACAAAGCATCTTGGGGAGGGAGTGTTTTTCAGCAGGGAGAGGAAAGGGAATGCATTTTCTTCATTAGCTCCCCCCCCCCCCCCGAAACCTATTTCCCTGGCCCTGGGAAGCACCCTAGAAGTTGATATCCTATGTGTGGAATGGGGTGGCTAAAAGAGAAGAAATCAACTGCTTCTTTTCATAAGCCTGTTCCACCTGTGGCCTCCAGATGTGCTAGATTACAACTCCCATCACCCCTAGTGAGCATAGCCAAAGGTGGTAAAAGACAGTTCTAACGTTATCATGCCTGATACGAAGTATCACTTCATGAGGCTGCTTTTCCATAAAAAGAGGCCATTGGACTTCATATAGACCAGTGGTTCCCAAACTTTTTCAGCTTGTTGGCTCTTTTCCTCTTGGGCAACAACCCTAATGCCCCAATACCTCTTTCTTTGTATTAGGTCTATTGCTCTTCTCCAAATTTAAAACAACCAGTCACTGGTCCCCTGGATCTTTTCACTGCCCCCAGGGGAGCATGACTGCCCACCTTGGGAATTACTGATATAGACAATTAAACTTGTAGCCTGTGCCAGTCCTTAGAAAATATTAGTAACTCCCCATAGCTGAATATACTTCTATATGGAGTATTCTTTTCATATCATTTGTCTTTGCACTATGATAGGTCATTATAATAGGCTATAGCTAAGGTCAGGATTTTAAATGAGATTAAACAAAGACTGCTCACTTTCATAGACAATAATAGAATAGACAGCTATGTAATCAAACTTGGGAATGTACAGCTTGTGGCAATTTATAATTTACAGGCATTAAGATGAGGCCCTTTAAAGATGCATACTGTTGCCTTTCACAATCAGGCTCATTGACAGGGGCAGGATATTAAATTAGTATGATCAACATCTGATCTGGAATTGAAATTCTTATGCTGCCTTGTAGATCATTGTCCTGTAAGTATAAAGTCTAAAGCAGCCCTCCCCAACCTGATGCCCTCTATTTGCCTTGGACTACAACTCCCATAATCATTGATTGTTCATCATGCAGGCTGAGGCTGATGGAAGCTGAAGTGCAAAATATCTGGAAGGTATTAGGTTGGAAATCCTGGAATAAATGAGCCATGGCATTAAATGTTAAGTATTGATGTTAATTATTGACCCTGAATATAAATGAAGATGTCACACTTCCAGCTGCTTGATCATTGTTCAGCAATTTAGAATGCTCTGCCACACTGAATGCTTCCCTCACTACCCTCGAAAGAGCTGATTCTCTGTGGCTGAGCTTAACAATAATTGGCCACTGTATTGGCAGCAACACTAACTGTGGTTAGGGGTATGTAAGGTTCCAGGATCTAATACCAACTTCCAACTATGATGTTTCAACTTGGCTTAAGTGACAATTCTTGTTAAATCTAGAATATTGGCACAGGAGCCCCTTCCATTTATGAGGGCGCACAGCTCCTCTATTTAGCAAAACACATTTATCACAGTTGTGGCACATGATAATGAATAGAGCATAGTTTATGCTGTGCTGAAAATGTGATCTTGTGGCACATAAAATGCAAGTGCTGGAGAAGTCGGAGAAACTGGAAAGGAGATGTGTGCAGGGCAATAGCTCTTGTAGATTTACTTGTTTCTGTGTGTGCTTGTCAACCAAGTTAGTTATTCACAAGACTGAAGGAGTAGAGATACTTAAAATAGGAAAAAATTGACAGCTCCTCCTTGCCCTCACAAAAAATCATGAAGAAGGAGAAGGGATAGTACAGCTTGTTGCAGTCCTCACCCTTCCCAAGGGCTTCTGATCAACACCCCCAAAAGCAATAGCAGGAAAACAAATGCAATACCTCTTGCATGTTGACTTTCCCATGAAATAGTTCCTTTGGAGTCGGTGCAATATATTTCTGAGAAGACATGAATTTTCAGGCTTGATATAACTGGTCTGAAGAAATCCAGGATACAGTGGCAGAAATAATATAAGGAAGATGGGTTAGGGTGAGTATCATGTGATATTCCAGGCATTACAATGCCAGTAAAAACCTGAAGTATAGATCATCCCCTAATCTTGGCTATCACTGATGTTATTGGGGTGAGAATGGGAGTGCACAACGCTGTACCCTGTTCCTGATTGTTTAAAGTGGTAGCAACTGGCTCATATATTGATATAATTTAATCTCTTTTAATTTTGAAACTGCATTTTAACCATTATTTATGGTTTTTCAATGTTCTTGAAACTGAACAAGTGACTGATATGATTGTTGGTTTGCTGCATAACAATACTCTTTTAATTTTTTTTAGCAATTCTGTTCTTGGAAATATAAGAAGAAATAGTTATTAGTAATATATGATACTGCTTAAAAGTAGGTCCATTTCTGAGCATTTTGAAAGTGCAAATTGAAAGTAAGGGGTGTTTCAATATTTATTTATTTATTTATATTGCGATTTATATCCTGCCTTTTTCCTACAAAGGGCTCAAGGCAGCTTACATCATCTCTCCTCCTCAATCTTATCCCCACAACAACAACCCTGTGAGGTAGGTTGGGCTGAGAGTCTATGACTGGCCCAAAGTCACCCAGTTGGCTGTTTTTTACATTCTTACTGTATTCTTACTGTATTACTGTATTCCCTTCCCCAGGGATATCTTTGCTTCCTATTGGAGTTGGAGACAGATATGAGATAGAGCAACTGAACACTTTAGCTGGGCCATCTGGCACTAACAAGATCATTACACTGCAACAGTTTGATGACCTTCCCACTATGGTCACATTGGGTGATGAATTTGTCAAGAAGCTTTGTACAGGTAAGCTTCATAACCCTTCAGAAAAACAAGCAAAAAACAAAACAAAACCACCCAACACCCCCAACCCATGATATTAAAGTGCAGTTGTCACATCTTTTGCTTCTTTAGCTGTTGTAATTAGTATCTGAAATTGCAGTTCTGTTTACATTACCCAGAAGACAGCCAAATTATACCTAGCAAGGGAATTCTTTGTAGATGTTTTGCTAAGACCTCCAACATACAGTAAGAGTTGAAAAGTTAGTTTTTTAAGAGGAAACAGGGACCATGATGAAGAAAATTGAACCTGTATGGGATTCCTAACCCAATATATTTAGCTGTTTATGCATCTGATCATAGATCAAGATCTTAGAGAAGTCCCAAGCATCATCACCACCACAATAGCAACAATTAATTCCCTCCATTTAGATACAAAACGGGACCACCCAAAAATAAAATAGTAGCTTCTACATAATCAGAGGACTACTTAGGTTGGCAGAAGTCTATGTAAGTTAACAGAAAATAATTTATTCAAAATTATCCAAATAGTTCTATAATCTTCCAGGAACTGTGAAATGTTGAGTGCATAGGGGGGAAAAAATCTGGAGAAGCCCTTCTGGAGAGGAAATTCAGGGTCTAGAGATGAAACTTGGGGTTTCTACCACCTGAGCTGCTACTTCAGGCTGGTAAGGGGACACACCTACTGCTGTCCAGTCATAGCTATGTGAAAATCTTAGATTTCTTGAATGCTTTCTGTGGACAGGTTTCATTTCTTTCCCAAGGGAAGTTTTCAATGGGAGGGTAGAAGTCAGGCAAATGGTGTGAATCTACCAATTAGTTTATGATGAGGACTGTTGGAATGTTAATGAAGTTGCATTTTTTTACAGATGGAAGATGCTAATTTGGTTGCTTAATCTGAGTTCAAAAGTTCACTCTTGCAACCTAGTGGATTTGTAAAAACTAAGTCAGTTTCAAGGAATACTAACTCAATTTTGTGGCTGAAACAAATTAATCATTGTATTGATTCATACAGTAAAATTATCTTTATGAATAAAATACTTTTGTGGACTTGAACAAAGATATAATTATTAGAAAGTAATATGAATGAAATAAGAATCATTTAAAGAATGGCATTAGAATTGCAGTTATGGATTTGAAAATGAATCCTACAACCTAGATATGAATCTTAGATTCCCCCACCTAAAACACCCTCCAGCCTATATCATATTTTTTTCCTGGTTATTTAGAGTATTCCACAATGATAGCTCCTTTATTTATTTATTTTTTATTTATTAAAACATTTTTATGCCGCCCC